CCGTTTAAAACCCGGACTGCATGCACTATTTGGTCTTGTAGACCCAGCTGTTCCACGACCCTTGATCTGATGATATTGGCCGAGCTACCTGAATCAATTAACATACGCTTAACTCGAGATTTATTTATGAGTACAGATATTACCAGTGTATCATTATGTGGTTGCACGATGCCTTCAGCGTCCTCGTTGTTGAAAGATACGGTTCCCTCTGGTACATAATCTCGAGTTTGCTTTTCCCTTATAATGGACACCTTAGTGCGTTTTAACATCGGCCCTTGGGGGACGTCAACTCCACCAATGATCATGTTAATGACGTGCTGAGGTTTCTCTTGCTCGATCTGCTTGTTGGAGTCCCTATTCCTGAAGTGATTTTTGGCTCGGTCACTCAGAAATTCTTGGAGGTATCCGTTATTGAATAACCGAGCTACTTCTTCTCTCAGTTGTCAGCAGTCTTCAGTTCTGTGGCCGTGAGTACCATGATACTTACACAATAGGTTGGGGTCCCTTTGGACAGGATCAGATTTCAATAGTCGAGGCCACTTAGTATCTTTGATGCGTCCGATGGCTGATACGATGCCGACATCATCGACGCTGAAGTTGTACTCCAATAACCTTGGTGCCTCCTTAGACCAGATAGGTCTATCGAAACCATTTTTGCTCATGAGTCCCCGATTATTATGACCTCGATCGCTCCTTCTTTCACTCATCGCAGGGTTGCATCCGGACCCGTTACCCCTTCGATCTCTATTGTATGGCTGATACCGATCTCTGTTCGATCTTGGTTCATGATCGATGGCTCTTTTGGATCTGTCACTAGTTCTGATGGAATAAACGGATCCGAAAGCCCCCCCCCCCCCCCCCCCAAGTTGGTCGTCTTTGACCCTAATTTTTGATTGGTACCTGTTATGGACGTCGGCCCAAGTTACCGCTGGGTATTCTATCAAATTTTGTTTCAACTGCTGCGAAGCCGATGAGCTTTGGGGATTGAGTCTTTGGGTGAATGCCTGAACGACCCAATCGTCCGCGACCGGAGGCAGATCCATTCGTTCCATTTGAAACCTTGACACGAATTCCCTAAGCATCTCGTTATCTCTTTGTTTTACTTTGAAAAGGTCTGACTTCCTGGTCTCGACCTTGATGGCCCCAGTGTGCGCTTTTACAAATGCATTTGCAAGCATAGCAAACGAGTCAATAGAATTAGGGGTAAGTTGTGATACCATATCATAGCTCATTTTAACAAGGTCTCTCAGAACTTTTTCAGTAGAACGGATTCGATTTTGTCGTCTTCCAAGTCATTCCCCCTGATGACGCACGTGTAGGAGGTCACATATTCATTTGGATCAGTTGTTCCATTATACTTCGGAATTTCGGGCATACATAACTTCTTTGAGAACGGCTTCAGAGCTGCGCTCTGAGGGAAAGGTTTTTGGATAAATTTCTTGGAATCCAGGCCCTTTAGTATCGGTGGCGCTCCTGGGATTTGGTCGACCGTAGAGTTATAGATCTCCATTTTTTTGTCGTTGGTTTCAATTTTCTTTTTCCCCGATTCTACCCGTTTTGTCAGTTCCTCAAGTATCTTTATTATCTCGGGGTTGGTCCCGAGTTCTTCTTCACCCGGCCTTTCTGTGTCCGGTTCATTCTTGTGAGCATTTTTCCGGGATGGTTCAGGCTCAACTCTGTTGGGCTATTGCTGCATGTTAAGCCTATAACATTTCGAAGATCACCCATAAGTTGATCTCATCACCTTCGTCATCGTGTGTACTCCGGGCTATCGAACGGGCTCCCCTACGAATATTATTTTCGAGGTCAGTAGGCAAGTTCGCTTCGATAGCCACATGTGATTTAGTATCGATTAGATCCGCGCCTGGGACTCTGTTGGGGTCAATACAGGGCACCTCGTTGCTGGGCACCACGTTGTTGTTCTCACCATGGTGGTTGGACTCAACATCAACGTTCAAAGGGGCAGATTGGGAGTTTGGCATTTTTAATTTGACCTAAAATTAAAATCTCAAAGAACAAGTGTAAAATAGAGTGCGTTATGAAAATTGTATCAAATTGCCTTTATTATCCTTAGCCCCATGGTGGGCGCCAAACTGTTTACCCTAAAAAATGGATAACAAATAAATTTATATTTAATTTTAAGGATATGCAGATTAATTCAATACAAATGATAAATGGCGTTAGATTAAATAAATAAATGACACAATAAATTGTTAAACCAATAAGGAGAGTGATCCCGGACTCAGTAACGTCTTAATGAAATGCCTGCCTTCGATCTCGGGCTCATACTAATGAAGAAATGATGAGCAATAGTAAGAACTTTGAATAACAAAGAAAATAAGAGTATATTGCCTTGATATGCGTGTTACAATGTGTGTCCATGAATAATAATCTTTCCCCTTTATATAGTAGGGGAGTTTTACCCCAAGTACAATTCTAAAAACGGTAAAAATCTTCTGTTTCGCCGATCACGGTATGAGCCGAGATTCACGTCGTGATATCCGGTTAGGCACGGACATCACGACCCTTTGTTAGTCGTGTGCAACTACTTGGTAATGTTCTCCGAAGTCTTCAATCTTCAGATCGACTCTCGAGGATATGACCCTGATATCCCCGAGGGCAGGTACCTTGCCCGAGCCCTAATATGAGGGGTTCTTCGTTCTGACTCCGATATAATACGGTCATGTTCCTACTCCGATTGGCTCACTGGGAAGACAAGTCATGCAGCGGGCTCGGTTCTTCCCGTATACATTTACCATTGTTCCAAAGTTGCCCTTTAAATTTAGCTATTTTTTTTTTTTTTTTTTTTGGAAACACAAAACATTAGATACCGTTGGTGGATTACTTTAGTCGTGCGGTTGAAGAAGGGAGAAGTTTGTTACACCTGCATAGACTACTAGGTCTCAACAGAATAACCTAACACCTTCTCATGGAAAATTAAAACTCAAATTCCATGGATAACTCCGTCTTTTTATGACTTAATTATATATTCCTATTAGCGTACAGACAAGGATCAGAACATAGTGCTCGGTATGAACAAATTTTAAAAAAGTGTGGTCTTTTTTATAATTTTGGGGATTTTATCACTGATTGGCAATCTTATGGGATACGAAAGAAATAGGAAAATGGCACGAAAGACTGAAATTTCTGATGCTGATGATTTCATGGAAATTAAATAAGCCAATCATAAGGCAAAGGTACAATAAGCGGGACCCATTCTCCATACTTGTTGAGAGCTAGATTCGTAAATCTCGCTTTCGCGCTTCAGCCGACGTGGATGCACGCTCCAGCTTTTATTTTTATCCCTGCCTCGTCTTTTTTCTTTTGATTTTTCGTTTTCTTTTTATGGTCCCAGACTCGTTTTATTCGGCAATGAAAAAGACGGAAATCGTCTACTTAAGAAAAATAAGTTAGTCAGAATGGCCTAGTCGTCCTTAAATTTGCACCCTAAAGTCTGCCTAATTTTCTCTTTTGTTTTTTATTTTTAGCACTTTTACTTGATTGGATGAATATTTCTCCCTACAATCTGACACCCAATTTGTATAGGTGATAAGGTATACAAATAGATGTTTGTCTGGCTTGGTCGATACAAACTTTCAATTATTGATTCAATTATTTACGATGGTATAAATGTCAATTTGATATACTCACCTTGACTTTCTGGTTTTTATTTCAAATTGAATTATTGGAACCACCTTGAATTGAAGGGGCATGTTTAAGATTAAAAGAATTTTGTGTCTAAGGAAAGCTAATTTTTTCTAGTTTTCAGGGAGATCAAATCTTAACTAATTAATGTATCGTAAATTTGTAATATTGATCGGTCTTATTAAACTTGAGTAATAAGTATATTATAGAATATTTAAATATATAATTTTAATTTGGTAGGTTCAAATTTTAATTTTTATATTTTTCAAATTATGGAATCAAAATGTAACATATATTATAATTTTGGTGATATTTTACGTTATAGCTAAGCTCTGTATTAAATTTAATGAATTTAATTGAAGGCATAAATTGTTAGTTATATCGGACACCGAGAATAATGTAGATTATTATGTATTATGTGGTTTTGATGTTGATTTTCTACCATATTGTAGGTAGTACAACACTCCTACGTAAGGAACCTTGTCGAAGAGGAAGTATTCTCTCACCTTACCTTTTTCTTTTTCCAAAAAAGAAAACAAAGCAAACCATCTATGTGAAGACAAACCACAAACGTTCTAATAAATTCTTTCTCAAAACTAGTATAGATAAATACATTTTTTTCCATAAAGAAGATATTCTCTAATGTATTCCTATAATTGGTTTTCCAAAGTAAAATCAATAGCATCTCCAAACACTATGTTATTGTAATCTATTTAGTAAAGGGCAAGTCAATTAAATTATTATCTTATCTTATTATACCTAACGTGATAAAATAACTCAAAAAGGAATATTCTTTTGTACAAACTTTTTCCTACCTAAGAAATTTTCAAACACTTTTACTGCACAAAAGGTAAGCTCTTTCTAAAAGAATTTAGTTATATACATATTGATGATGCAAAATTTAGCATCTTGATTTGAGAGATCCATGAGTTAAATTTATGAGAGATAGTTTTAAAATAAATTAATTTTTCACTTTTGCAAATTTATAGTTTCTCCCTAATAATAGAAAAACTATTTTTTTTACTTTTTGAAAATATTTTTTAATTTTGGTCAAATCTCAAATATTAAAAAAAAATACTTTTAGGATAAAATATAATTTTAAACTTTCTAAAAATTTGACCAAAACACTTTAAATTATGAAGTGCAGGTGAAAGTAATTGGCCAAACAGGCTAAACTATTACATCTACAATAAATAAAATAATTATGACACCCTAGATACGGTAGAAAAGCAATAATACAGAAAAGTTAAGTTTTTCTTCTCAAATATTACGAGGAGCGTGAGAACCACTCTCCTTAGCATGACCTTGTTTCGTAAGATAAAACACTTTCCAGATCACGTGCGTTAGACGCTATGAACGACAATCCTCCTGTGCCCGCCCGGACTACACTCCGCTTTTGGAATTCCTATTCAAATAGTAGTACATAATACAATATTCAACTATTTGTACGTCCAATCCAATTTCCGTCAGTATCAATAAACTACTACATCTATTATCTAACACAAACATAATCGCCGGCGAAGAACCGGCTCACGAGTCGTCGACCTCAACTACATACACATACGTATACACGGACTCATAAAATTTGCTTAATTATATCTATCTATATATATATATAGAGAGAGAACGAGGTTCATATTGCAGAGGAATGGCGATGGTAGACGCGGAGGCGATTGTAAAAGAACTGAGGGAGACGTACGCGAGTGGGAAGACGAAGAACTATGAGTGGAGAGTGTCGCAGTTGAAAGCTCTGTTGAAGATCGCAGAGCATCACGAGAAGGAGATCGTCGATGCTCTTAATTCCGACCTCTCTAAGCCTGAACTTGAATGTTTTGTTCACGAGGTTTCTCTCTCTCTCTCTTTTTCTGTGTGTGTATGGACTTGTAATTTCAATAGAATATAAAGATTTAAGTTATTTACACAGATAAATTTGAATTCTAGCAGTCAACGAATTACATACTAATTGGTTATATTTCACTATGTGAATGGTCGAATGGCAATTCTGAGTTTCTAGAACCTTTTGGTATAATATCGAAACAATAAAGTTGAGGACTGATCGGGAATTCTGAGTTTGCAGCATCTTCCTTACAAATATGAAACATAAAGTTGTAATTGGAATTATGATTACTCTGCTTTTCTCAGATTTGAAACTCTGCGTTTGAATTAAACATCAGATTTTTGAGCACTTGTTTCTTTTTGTCTTTTTTTTTCCTTCCAAAAATTGGCGACTCTAATATTTCCTTGAACAGTCATATGGAAGGAATTAATCAAACTATCTCAAAAGCCTCAAAAGTTATACTTACAATTTTAGTTTTGGTTTAGTAATTGAAAATTGTACAGGCTATTTTTGTTTGTTGAGTTTTTTCCTGTGTTTAAATCAATTTTGTAAAGTTGGATTTTGTGTCTTCCCTCCCTTTGTAATGAATTATAAGGGTGCATAACTACTTAACAGACTGAGTATTTAGAAGAAAACTAGCACGGAGTATTCTTTTTTCTGGGTTTCAGATTTAGTATCTAGATTTTAGTTAGATAGTCTATTGCAAAATGAGTTCTCTTTTCCTCTTTTCATATTTAGTTTTCTGGAATTGGAGAAGTTTTAAACCATTTAAAAGAGTGATGTTGGGTATTCTGCTTTGCAGAGGGTCATTGGAGTGACATGTATAAGCAAGATAAATAGGTCATTGTTGTTCCTGATGTTGGTCATCTCGAAAGTGTATAGATATCACCAAGATTAGCTTTTGGTTCTTATAATTAGTCCTGGACTTTCTTAGCTATGTCGGACCAGATTTTCTTTTAGTCTTCTAATTCATATATTCTTCTAATGCAGATTTCTATGATGAAAACATCGTGTAAGCATGCATTGAAGCAACTAAAACGGTGGATGAAACCAGAAAAGGTAAAATTTTGTAGCTATTTATAGATATACATTACTTAATTTATCTTGGTTACTAATTAATAGAAGCCCACTGATGCTAACATATGGAAATTACAGGTCAAAACTTCATTAACTACGTTTCCTTCATCAGCTGAAATTGTTCCAGAACCCTTCGGTGTTGTATTGGTCATATCAGCCTGGAACTATCCATTCTGTATGTGAAAAACTGTACATTTATCTCCTTCATAAGTG